GAGAGCACCAAAGAAACATAATTCTGCCATCTAGTTAAGATAAATATATCAAGAACTATTTCTACTTATAACTCACTATCACCTACATGAGAATCAAGCTGTTGTATATATTCAGCCTTTTTCCCCACAGACAGGAGTGAATTCATGTACTTAGAACTCAAAGTTGAAAGCTGCTAACACAAACCACTGGGCTTTTGAGCACCTGTCAAATCACGCCACTACCAGCAAGACAAGCTCCACACAGCACACTTTCAGATAGATCCTTAATTCTGTTAAAATGGAAAAACAAAACTCCAAAATTCGACTTTAATAGTGGATGGGTGAAGCCCATCAAGTTTTGTTTTTTTCTTTTGTGAAAGCAGAAAGGTGGGGTCCTCTTATGTTTGGCATAAACCATTCATAAGCCATCAGGAAGGCTAAACTATCGTGACTCTGCCCGTTCCAGATCAGTTTTTAGCAAGTATCTCAAGCACTACCAAAAGAAACCACAAGGCACACATGGGCACTACATGAAAAGGTATTTGCTGTAGGTTCTTTTTGTTCAAAGGGTTTATTCTAAAAGGCTTCTTTAAGTACAGCTGAGTGATCAGTAATTTCCAGTTGACACAGGATGTTCACAGCGTACTAAACATCCTCAACACCCCTGTTCAGGATTTAAGGGCATCCAAGCCTGAGTACAAGGACACAACCCTAAATTAAGCTGGTTAAACAATTTAAAAAGTTTCATGTAAATCAAGGGAAAAAAAACACCCAAACCACCCCCCCAAAAAAACCAAACCAAACAAAAGAAAAAACCCAAACAAAACAACACAAAAAGCCAAAGATGTTTTATTAAACACTCCTTTAGTATTTGATATGCAGTGCCATAAGCAAGGGGGAACTATAGTGAAGCCGGTTAAACACAAAGTGGGTCAAACGCTCATAGTACGCAAGCCAAAGCAGCAATGATCACCTGACGCAAACTTCAATTTAAAAGCGACTAGCTGTTTTCCTTAGAAAACTAACATAAAACTTCTCAGTAACCTGACCGTATCTTAAGACTGATTTATTTTTATCGTTTTTAGCGCGGACACAGCGGTCAGCTCCAGGCTCCCTCCCGGCCGTCAGCTTTATTTGCAGAGGCGGGACGCGATTCCCGGGGCGGAACGGACCGCATCGCCAGGAGGGAAGGAGGACGTGCACCCGCACCCTCACTACCGAGTAGCTCGGCATACCAAGCACCCCAAGCCGCCGCTAAAAGCGAGGGCGACACGACGACACCCAGGGCGGAGGCACCGCGGATCCCCGGCTCGGGCACCTACCGCCGCGGCGAGCCGGGCCCCGGAGCGAGCCCGCTGACAGGCCCGGGCGTCACCAGCCCCCTCGCCCCGAGGGAGGCCGCGGCGGTGCCGGGTGGACCCCCAAGAGACGAGCGGGAGCGTGTCCGGGGCCGCCCGCCCGGGCTGCTCCGCCTCGCCCAACGCAGCGCCTCACGCCATGACCCGCTCCTCCCGTCCGGCCTCCCGCCCCCGGCCCGCCGGGGCAGCCGCCCCCTGACGCGGCGACGGGGGCCGGACGGAAGCCGCCCGTTAAGCACGCAGCGGCGGCGGCGGCCGCGGATCAGCGGGGCCCGGCTTCCGTGTGCCTCACCCGTGATGGCGGTGAACTGCTGGATTAACCCCTTCAGCGCCGAGGAGGCCGCAGAGCCCCCGTGGGCCGCCATCTTGCCGCCGCCGCACAACAACACGCACGCCGCCAGCCCCCACCCTCTGCGCAGGCGCGACACCCGCCCGCGCCCTTCCTCTGCCCGCCGCCGCGGAGGCGCCTCTCTGGGCCGCTGCGGGAGGGGCGGGAGTTACCATGGCAACGCGGCCAGACCCGCCCTGTTGCCTCGAAGGCCCAGGGAGGAGGCAGTTGCCCTGGCAACGCGGCCCGCCCAGCCGCCTGAGCGGCTTTTCAAACGCTGCCGCGGCTCGGCGGGAACTTCCGCCTCGTTGAACAGCCCGAGTTCATCGTACACGGGATTCCTTCACTTGGCGTTGCGTGATGAGAAGCTCACCATGACCCGTCAGTCTGCGCTCGCAGCCCAGAAACCAACCGTGTCCTGAGCTGCATCAAAAGGAGCGGGACCAGAAGGTTGAGGGAGAGGAGTCTCCCCCGCTACTCTGCCCTGGTGAGACCCCCCCTGCAGTCCTGCGTCCAGCCCTGGGGGCAGCAACACAAGAGGGACGTGGAGCTGCTCGAGTCCAGAGGAGGCCACAAAGGTGCTCCAGGGGCTGGAGCACCTCTGCCATGGAGCCAGGCTGAGAGAGCTGGGCTTGTTCAGCCTGGAGAAGAGATGGCTTCAGGGAGACCTTAGAGCAGCTTCCAGTGCCTAAACGGGCTGTCAAGAAATCTGGGGAGGGACTTTTTACAAGGACATGTAGTGACAGGACAAGGGGAATGGCTTTGAGCTCAAAGAGCAAAAATTTAGATTAGCCATTAGGAAGAAGTGAGGGTGCTGAGGCCCTGGCACAGGTTGCCCAGAGAAGCTGTGGCTGCCCCATCCCTGGCAGTGTTCAAACGTTGAATCTGGTCTAGTGGAAGGTTTCCCTGCCATGGCAGAGGTTTGGAACTGGATGAGCTTTAAGGTTTCCTCCAACCCAAACCAAACAGTGATACTGAAATGCTCCATGAGGAAATACCTAAAAGGACAAGCCAAAGAGGTACCTGGTGAGGATTATTATGTCGCACGCACACTGAGGAATGTGGTTATCTTTGCGAGCCGAGAGCTTGCAGCAACCCACCTCGGATGAGGCTGCTGGTATAGATCATAGGTTTTGTACACTTCGAAGTTATAGTTGGGTTTTAGTTAATGTTCAACTTTAACTTTGCTTTTTTTCCATTCTACTTAATAAAAATAACGATTCTTAAGTAAGACATAATTCTTACACTGAGGACAAAATCCAGTAAGATGGAAAAACACACCATTGGATATATATACACACACCAAAACACACTCCTGGACTATTTAGACCTTTGAAATGACTAATTTATATAATTTTTGTATTTATTATCAGTGGAATCGCAGCAGCAGGATTTGCTATTAATGGCAAAGATTTAAGTCTGTGCAAAACTCAGACTCTTCATTAGGGACTGTAGTGATAGGACAAGGGGTAATGGGTTAAAACTTAAACAGGGGAAGTTTAGATTGGATATAAGGAGGAAATTCTTTCCTGTTAGGGTGGTGAGGCACTGGAATAGGTTGTCCAGGGAGGTTGTGAATGCTTCATCCCTGGCAGTGTTCAAGGCCAGGTTGGATGAGGCCTTGGGTAATATGGTTTAGAGCGAGGTGTCCCTGTCCATGGCAGGGGGGTTGGAGCTTGATGACCTTGAGGTCCTTTCCAACCCTAACTATTCTATGATTCTATGATTCTAAAACCAAAGAGTAAAATGCAAAAAGCCTAACAGGGCCAGCATTCCAAACCCTTAGAGGGGTACAGCAGGACTGCCAGGACCATAGAAACAAAGTGTTTAAAGCTGCAGAGACAGCTGCATCAGGCATGCTCATGAGGTGGCTGCAGGGGCGACGTTATGTGGGAAGAGACCAGGAACTACCCTGCACCTCTCCAGATAATTCCCAACCTGCTCTGAAGTCCTGAAGAACCCATTACACCCATCAGCAATAACCCAGAGAAGCAGTGCCAGAGCAGGTACCATCTTTTGAGCAAGTTAAAACTAGTGATCAGACTTCAGAAACTGATTGTAAACCAAAGGTGAACAGACTTAAAAAATGCTTTCTCCTCATATATTTTGAAAATCGAGAGTTTACTTCTTACGTGCTTATAATGACTGGAAAGAACAATTGTCACTAGCATGAAAACAGTCACTACCTCTGCCTTTAAGAATATTTTAATTAATGATTGTATTTGACTACATGGGTAAGACGGAAAACAACCCGAACAAAGGTCAAGATTAAACAGAAACAGATCTATACTTCTTCCAGCACAACAGCTGAGGCAGCAAGAGGCAAACTGAATGACCTGCAGCTGGTCTCCAGTTGTAACTTTCTCAAAAACCATCTCGGAACACATCATTCGTTTATGAGAAACCCTCCCATTACTAGAGACACGCAGGGAAACAAACAGCACAATTCACAATTTTGCTTGATGTGCTGTTTGTGCTTTCAATGAAATTTCAGTATTTGTTGCTTTAAAACTTAAAACATCAGAAGATACTGCTGTCAAGGACTTTGTTACTGATTTCCCAGAACCAAGTTAAAGATCATCACCTCTACAGAGGTTCAAAAAAAGAATACATTTAAAACATTTGCTAACATTGGTGACTAACACAAAAACGTCGGCAACGCAGAGTTGTAGTTTGCTGTCTTTTAAACATGGAAAGGGGAAAAGTATCTCATTACAAGCAAAGAAAGGTCAAAAGATGTCTTTATAATAGCAACAGATAAAACAATCTAGGAAGAATACTCCTGCTGAGTAGCAGCTGGTCACCTCTTCACCAGCCTCAACCTCCTCCAGGCCTCAGCTTCCCCACACCTCTAAGTGGTAATTTATTTGAATTGAGTTAGTTCCAGCCAGGCATTGTAGTTATGTGAATCTTTAATTACAGTTATGTCATTTCTGACAACTTCAGCTGCTCCTTCCCCTTTTGGTTTAACTTTCTCCATCATAACTGTCTTCTGAACTACATTTTTGTAATACGATGCATTTTTAATCAAACTCAAACCAGTCTGAGTATAAAAATTAAATAGCACTAAACATAGGTAATACTACTGCACAAAAATTAAGCTGCAGAACACCAGCAGTTAAGACAACAAAAGTATCTTTTCCTAATGACAGTAACTGCCAGATTTGCATAAGTGACCTCTACGAACAGAAACAAATATAAGCCCACAACCACTTATACTGTTGGCATTTATGAAAAATCCTTGGCTTTGGCAACGGGGGAATGGCCTGGTTTTTTCCTCTTTTGGGGGAATGACCTGTTTTTTTCCTCTTTTTCTAAGAAAGGGGAATGAGAACTTTCTCTAAGAAAGTGTATGAAAACTGTACCTGCAAGACCAGCTGTGCAGTTACACTCTTGTTACCTGTTGTGTGAACAATGCCATTCAACAAACAGCCTAAATTCCAGTAACATGCTTCAATTAAACAGACCAGTGGTTGTGTTGAGTGAAGCTTCAACCTTGCAGCTGGCAGACAACTGGAAATACAGACTAATTTTTTAGCTTTAGCTTAACCTCTGTGGAACATGCGTCCTTCCCACAAAAGGCTCCAAACTCTCATTTTAAGATCAGACCATCAGTTATTTTTGTTTTTAAACACTAACAGTATTCGCATTCAAAATTATGTAAATGTAACTGCTAGAAAATAAGCTGCAGTCAAGAAAAGAACAATTACATTTTTTTAAAGACTGGGGGTGTACATTATTAAAACTCCTCAAAATACAGAGCTCTCTGTGGCCTAAAGTGATCCCCCCCCAAACCAACAATTTTACAACTGTTCGCAGGAAGCTTTGCCCAACACAGGAGAAAGCATTACCACAGCTTTAATTCTCATTCCACCACGTGTCTGTGGTTCTGCTGATCTACTCTGCAACAGGGCTTTTAAACATCTGAAGGATCGTCTTTTGCTTATTCTTAGGTAGTGAACAAATATCATTTGCATCACTGGTATTAACCACACAGTTCAGCACCTTTCCTCCCTTGATGCTGGGTGATTTCATCCGGACTCTGGCAGGTGACTGCCAATTTTCATTGCAAGAACCTCTGCGAGTTTTGCGGTGATTTGTTTCAGCCTGTTTTTTTGATACCTTTGAGTCTTTTGCCACCTTAGGACTTCCCTTTCTAGCAGGAGAGTCTTTCCCCAACTGAGGTGGTTTGGTGCGAAGCAGATACTGATCTGGAGAGCCCTTTTGTCGATTAAGCGTCCTTTCCTCCTTGTTAATCTGTTTTTGCAGCTGCAGAGCCAGAAGCCTGTCCTGTTCCTCTTGCATTCGTCTTTCATAGATCTCCTGTTCAAAGGCTTTCTGCATTTGCAAGTTAAAATCATTTATCTGCTTCCCTTCCTCCTCCAAACTTTCCGGAAAAGTTCTTCTCCTCTTATCAAGCACACAAAAGTCAACCACTTCTTCAGCTGGTGGCTCCAACAACTTTCTTTTTGGAGTCTTCTTAGTGTTCTGCAGGCTCTCTGGCTTCTCTTCATCCGAGTGTCTAGCCACCTTCATAAAGTCACATACCACACTTGTGCTGTCAGACACTACAGAATTTGCTGCTGACTGAATACAGGTATGAGCTCCAGCAGAATTTTTAAGGTTTATGCTTTCTACGTGTGTTAAACTGCCACTGTCTGACTCACCTCCATCATCTTCTCCTTTAGATCTAAGAACTGTTCCAGAGCCTTCCCTTTTTGTGATTCCATGCAATGCATCTGGAATTTCTTCTACACAATTTGTTCCTGATGTTTCTTCCTGCTTGACAGCAGTAATTTCTCCTGAAGCCGAGGTACTGAAATAGTTCATGCACGATTCCAAAAATGAATCCATAGCACTGGAATCTTTATTGACACTGGTCAGCTGTGGAGACAATGTTGGCATTTCCTCTTGCTCATCTTGCCACGCTGAACTCCTGCCTTCATTGCCATTGGTCTCCTGAAAAAAAGGGAGAGACCACTAATAAAGTAAATTTAGCAAAAGCCAATGGGTATGAATAAAATGCAACTCTCACTTCTCATAGTTGTGTTGTTCATAACTACTCTGGGGTGTTAACTTGGATTCTTCTCTTAAAAAAACCCACCAACCATAATTAATGTATTATTATTAAAAAATACATAATTAATGTACATTATTATAAATAATAAAGAAAATATTGAAGAAAAGCTACAGAAGTCCAGCTAAAGGACTGAAAACACAACTGCTGCATTCTCCTCTCATCAATGACTCAAATCAACTATTCAAGCCTGCTCATCATCTTTTGAAGCCAAACAGGACAGCTAAGACAGACTCATGGAATGATGAAAAATCAGAGCGCAACCTCCTCCAGTGAGCTCCAGAACCATCATTCTAGTTTTAGACACCACTGGTTGGAACCAGAGCTCACTGAAGACATTCAGGTAAGGTGCCTGTAAGGCTATACAAGGTAAACATCAAAGTAAGCCGTAGGTGCACATCTGCAGACTGTCAAGCATGGTTTCTTCCCTTTCTATGTTGAGAAATCTTGACTACTAAAGGTATTTCCAAAAGAGCAAGATAAACTGGACAGGGCTGATGTGGCAGGGGAATACAGGACTGCCAATCCTCCAGGCAAGGGGAAAGTTAACCCATAATTATTAACACTGACATTTCTAACAAAATTATTCTAGTTACCGCAGAGCCAGAGCCACTCCTGCCTCTTCCTCTTGTTCTAGAGAATGATGCTGATCCCAATGTATGATGAAGCTTTGGAGACAGGTACCTTTAAAAGTAAAAAGAAAACACCTTTTAAAACTTTTTTTTTTTTTCCCCCCTTGTCAGCACTTTGCACTAGTTGAGATCTTCCGGTTCATTCTGACAAAGAAAAACAAGAAGAGAAGGACAAGTGCTTCCATTCTCCATTTTATCCTCTGAGGAGATGTTTTAACATGCAATGGTTTACATTTACCCCAGATTATCCAGGAAAGTTGGACTACAGGATTCCAAAGAAGCAGATGGAGATAAGGGGTGTTATACCAAGAAAAAGACTAATAATTAAAGAGAAAAATTTTAATTGCTTACTTCTGAATGTCTTCAGAGTTGCTTGGTTTGCTCTTCGTCTTGCACAAATTAGCTGGGGATGTTTCAAGTGAGACACTACCTGCTCGTGCAGGACTGCTGAGCCCATGTCCTTTGGAATCATCATTCTTCAATGACAAAGACAGACAATATAGTGTTATGTAAAACAAAACACGATGCAAACTGGAGAAAAAACAGAAAACTACTTCCTTTATCCTGCAGAATTAGTTACTTTGGTCCAAAGAATTCTACAACTGTAAGTAATGTATCATTATGGAATAAGAAATGATACATGCTCTGTACACTTTCCTGCATCTAGTATTATGGGAGGAGGTTTTCCTCAAGTAAATACACAGGCTTCATCATCATATTATCAGGTAGCAAAAACCAACCAACCAAAATCCCCAAACAAATTAACAAAATAAAGAAACAACAAAAAAGCCCAAAACACAAGGTAAACTTTCACTGTGCATTTTTTTTCAGTACAGGTTACAGACATCAATTTCTTCCAAACAAGTATTTTTAAAATCATGGAGAAAAGGAAGTATTCGGAGGAAAACCAATGTTTCAAAATGTATCACAATGAAAACATCCAGAGCACACGTTTCAAGTGCATATTACACAGACAGGAATGTTTAGGGTATTTCACTCTCCTGCTGGTTCTTCAAAAATTAACAATCAATCAACGATCTGAAGTGCCAGAGGCCAACAACAGCTTCCAACTACAATTACAATAAAATTATTTCATTCAAAGTTTTAATTTTTGCTATAAAAATCTAAGTTGCTTGGACTGTATCAATGTTTTCTACTGTCCCCCTTGATTCTAACTCACCAGACTGTTACTCAGCCGCCAGGCCAACTCTTCATCTTGCTTCAGTTGTTTCTCCATCTCCCTTCGCCTCTCTTCTGCCAATCTCTGTTCCTCCTCCTCCTCTGCCAGAAGGCGCTGAATGTATTCCTCACTTGCTTTGTTCACCTCTTGCTCATGTGCTCGCCTTTCTGCCTCCACCTAAAAAAGTTTTTTTTTAAATACATCTGGTTACTACTGTAGGACCACACTGTATGCCAGAACCCTTCAGCTGACTCTCCTTAAATGTGAACAATGCACTCTTCACAAAGCCATAGCACACTTCAAAACCAGTATTTAATTACAAGTCTCCAAAGATTAAGAATGAAACTAACACTGTGTGTAAGGTCTTCAGTTTGATATCAGTGACCTACCTTCTGGTTCCTGTAAGACTATACCATTAACCTTGCTCACCTGCAAGGTTAAATTCCATTACCTTTTCAAAATGTTAGTAACAAAATCTAAACATCTCCAAATACATGGGTCCAGAGATGAAACGTGCTTCTTGGTCTGCAGCAGCAGCAGACTAAGAACATTACATCTACCTTCCTTAAGGCAGACCTCTCTTGATAAATCAGTTATCAGTAACTCCACAAGGACACTTCAAGAATGAATAAAGCTTTCTTAACTGGGCAATGGAATTTGGCAATTTGCTTTAGAGAAGAGCATCAAACTGTAATACTACAAAAGTTAAGTGTGAGTTTGTTAGAAATCATGTATTGATGTCTTATGATTGGCAGCAGACACCATTACTTATTTCATTGCTTTTGGGCCCCATCTCCATTAACCATCGGTACTGTTGCTACCAATCAATCTTATCCCTTAACTGCCATAAAAGAGAATACCACAGTCCTCTGCTCATAACTTCTGCTCTTGTAACAATCAACAGGGCTGTCAGGAAAAGGAGCATTTTGATACTATTTCCAACTATAATTCTGTCCTGGGTTCAGCAGTAACAGTCATTTTTCTCCTTCTTAGTAGCTGGTGCAGTGCTGTGTTTTTGACTTTCAGCCTGAGAACAATGTTGGTAACACCAATGTTTTTAGATGTTGCTCAGTAATGCTTACTCTGACCAAGGACTTTCTAAGCCTCATGCTCTGCCAGGGAGGACAGGAAGCTGGGAGGAAGCAGAGACAGGACACCTGATCCAAACTAGCCAAAGAGCACAGCACATCATGCCCAGTATATAAACTGGGGGCAGTTACCCGGAAGGGCTAGATCATTGCTTGGGTCAGGTTGGGTATTGGTCAGCAGGTGGTGAGCGGCTGTATTCTCTTCCCTTGTTATTTCCCTTATCATTATTATTACTGGTGGTAGCAGCAGTGGTTTTGTGTTATACCTTAGTTACAGGACTGTTCTTATCTCAACCAGTGGGAGTTACATTCTTTTGATTCTCCTCCCCATCCCTCTGGGAGCGGGGGCAGGAAGGGGGGGGAGTGAGCGAGCAGCTGCGTGGTTCTGGGTTGCTGGCTGGGCTTAAACCATGACAAATTCTTACTACTACCATGTCCAAATTGGAAGAAGGATTCTTAAACAGGCAACCGTTAAGATTTCTTAAAAAAATCTATTCTGATTTTCAAATGAACACAGATAAAACAGGGAGTGAGCAAGTAAAAAGAAGAAAAAACTAGGTATTACTAAAGCTCACCTAACTGTGGTCTGTTACTTAAGGAGGAAAATGAAGCAGTGCAAGACCAAAGCCCAAACAATCCAAAATTTTTACGTTTGCTAGTACAAAATAAGCTATGTGCATCTGAGGACCTATAAAAGACATTTAGTATGTTGCCAGGATTGAAGATAGTGAAAGGTAACACTCTAACCCTGAAGGAACCCTTCTGCACACAAGGAAGTCTCTCCTCTTCCATAAAGGACAGAAATTTAATTTATACCTCAGGAATGACCAGTGTGTTCTTGCAGCAGCAAGAGCTATATAAACTCTCTTTTTCATAAAACAACATTACAGCTGTTTGTGGGAACAATTAAAATAACCAGACACAAAGCATTTATGCTTTTAAATATATTTTTAGACTTACCTTGATAATCTCTGCTTCATATTCCTGCCTCAGCTCCCCAGGCTTGCTCAGCTGGTGCTGCGGATGGGGGACACAGACTAATTGAGAAGAGAGAGAGGAAAAAACTAAGCAAGGAACTAAACAATATCATGACAGTCAACAAGAAAATATTTTAACAAAAGATTATTTCCATACCCTGTCACAGGAATGATGTGTCTTACATCAAGTGGTGTGGAAGAAAGCACTGTGTTACAGAACAGCCAGTGCAGTTTTCCAAGCACTGCATATGAAGCAAATACATATACTGGCCTTAACTTAAGTCTTTTGATTTTTGCTGCTGAAAGAACTTCTTAATATAGCAAGGGCCGCAACTTGTCATAGAACCAACCTACCAATTAGCCTCCCCCAAGGGAGCTTGCAACGTAACAGCCCCCAAAAATCCTTCTTCAAAGAATTAATCAGATTTCACTTCCTTTTCTCTGACACCACAATTTTAGGCTCAGAGACTCTTGCACAGACTAAAGCCCTGTAATTTCTAATCACACTAATTAATAGCATCTAAGAGTGAACAACTTTGAACCACTACATTTATTCTCCAGCGATAAACACACACAAATACTCCACTTACAGATTTCATAGCCAAAGTTGTATCTGTAATGATTTACAGGCTTTGCAAGGCTAGGCAGCCACATACCAACACTTTGTGCAGAACACATGAAAAAATACGCACCTAAATGCACAAATATAACTCCCTCTCTGACCTACACATGGAAACAGCACAGGTGCCCATTTCTCTGCCTCACAAGCACCTTTCACAGGAGAGCTCTGACACTGCATTTGCTAGCACTAACATCTGCACAGCTTCTTGTTTCACAACATCCAAAGTCCACCAACAGTTATTAATTTGGTAACACAGAGACATCCCAGGACAAATGACATTTTACTTACTTTCCTCTTCCAAATCCTGTCCATTAATCCTACGCTCACACTCCTTCGGGTAATGCTTCTGAATCTTTTCCCAGAGCTCCCAATTGACAAGAGTATTTCTGCGGGCATTATATCGGGCCCAAGAAGAGACTCGACGCCGGCAAAAAGGGCAACAAAGACTGGCTTTTTCAACTGTGAGCTGGAAACAGGAGTTACAGAGGGTATGGTTGCATGGCAGCGTCACAGGCTCTACAAAGATCTCCATGCAGATTGGGCAGAGGCAGTCAGACAAGGAAAGCAGAGCCCCTGATTTCTTCGACATACTGGCTTGATGTAGGGGAACAAGACTAGTACAACATCAGTACCTGAAAGCAAAAAGAAACATGTATTTTACTTCCCATCATGACTATAAAAGAAAATGCTCAGTTTTACAGCTACTTTATCAAAATATTAAAGAAGTCTGCTTACATGGTAACTTTTGCTCATGAGCAGACTCTGAGAGAAAGAAATCTTTCCAGAAGACATGAAGAAACTGTAGCAGATTTTCCTACCAGTTTCCTATGAGTTGTAACAGATGCTTTGGGGATAACAAACAGGTAGTAAGGAGAGGGGGGAAAGGTGGTAAGATTTCTTCCAGCATTTACTCTGTACTAGTGACACACTATTCTCACGTTTGGTGGATTTGTCACCACAGTTACCTTGGCCTTCTGCTCAGTTTTTCAGTACATGCTCATCCTTCAAAAGCTGCTCTGGTACAGACTTCGTTCCAGCACGTTCTGAAGGTGAACTACAACATCCCTGTGCATCAGAGGAGAGAGTGTTCCTCCTCAACCATTTGCTTAAGCTGAGACTAAGATGTCAAAATACTTGTTGTTAATGTAAGCAAGAAATTAACCAATGCATTCAACACTTCAGCATCTTCTTGTATGAGTTAAAAAGGTGGGGATCATCCAGCCTTCCTATCACTTCTCCCCACAGGACTTTTCCACTTGGCCCACAAACAGAAACTAAGAAACACCTACAGCAAAAAATAAAAAAGATGAAAAAAACCCTATTTTTTTCTTTGCTTTTTTTAAGTTATAGGAACTTAATCAGTTTTTATAAGCTTCTCAGAAACAGCCACCTTCAAAAAGAGCTGAGGTCTTTCTGAGAGAAAGGCTGCAATTTCAATCACGCAGGAACTCGACATGGAGACAAATACATTTTAATTTGGGTTTTATTGTTTCTGATTTCCCTTTGCCGATAAAACAAACTCTCAATTTAAAAAATAAAATAACATTTTTCCAGGCAGTTTGGTAAAAAGACCCACTCAGTCCATGTGTACCTGCTCTGGGCTCAGCTCGATTAGTACGCAGACAGAACACTGGACGCTCGGAGAAGGCCTTGGATACCCAGCGACGGAGGCAGGGCGGCGGAGCAGCCCCGCATACCACAGCCGCGGCCTGGCACACAGGTACGCCGCCGCACAGCTACGGACGAGGCTGGCTCTCCCCGCCGGCGGCTGCCTCTCATCCCCCGCACACCCCGGTCCCTGAGCGGTCACGGCAAGGAGTCAGCACCCACCGAGCTGCGGCTCCCCGGAGGGGGCGCGGCGGCAGGCAGGGCCGCGGCCTCCTGCAATGGCCGCCGCCGTAGCGCTGCCCGCCAGCCCGCCGCCCGCTCCGCCCCGGCCCGCGCTGGCAGGCCTCTCCCGCCGCGCTGTCGTTCGCTCCTCCTCCGAGTCGGGCCTGTCGGGAAATAGACACTGAGGGCGCTTCGGTGGAGCAACCGGCGGGGGGCAGGAGCGCATCGGGGTGACGGCCCGAACCGGGGTGACAGCCGTCCTCTGCCACACCCAGCCCCGCGGCGCGCTGCGGGTCTGCGGGGAACCGCAGGGTTGCGGGTCTATTGTCTGAACAGGCATTTCGGCCATAAAGCGTTACCCGCGGGTCTCGCTGGAGGGCAGCCTGACGAGAGCCGGCTTCCCCCCTGTGCGGAAAACAAGAGCTGCTCCAGAAGCAAGAGATGGAAAGACTAAATAGCAAAAAATGGGAGTCTTCTGGCCTCAAATAAAGTAATCGGTGTTAATGAGGTGGTTTGGGTTTTTTTCTTGCACTTACTGTGGGACAAAGTTACGCAAAGTTAGGCAGGCTTGATGTCCCCACTATCCTGAAATGGCATGGGTTTTAAACCACATAACTATTTCACAGCCTGTATTGTTAGTTTTGTTTTCTGAAGAACCAGCTATCAAAGGAACCTCAGTTTTTCCTCAGATTACCCAGTTCTGCAATAAATAGCCATTTCAGCTGGGAAAGAATCATAGAATCACAGTTTAAAGCCATTCCCCCTTGTCCTGTCGCTATCAGAAGTCCTTGTAAAAAGCCTCTCTCCAGATTTCTTGTCAGCCCCTTTAGGCACTGGAAGCTGCTCTAAGGTCTCCCCAGGGCCTTGAAAGGTAAATACGTCAGTACAGGCTGTACAGCCCCGTGTTGGAGCCACCCCAGCACCACCTGCATGTGCAGGACCAGGACCAATCCTACCCTCCCAGTGCTCACCTCCCCTCTGGTATCCACAGGGCATCCTGGCTCAGCTCTTTCTCCATCATCTCGGCCTGCAGATCAAACTTCTGCACCAGTGTGTGCAAGCTTGAGTCCAGGTCTGTGAAGAGAGCCTCCAAGGTTTGCAGCTTGGTTTCTACTCTGAGGGATGGAAAACAAGCGTGTTTCATAGGTACTTGGGCATCAATGGGTGGTGCTTTCTGCCGTGATGGTGGGTCACACACACTGTGAACAGATCCAGATGCCTTTCTGAGGCTTCTCTCAAGCTATATGAGAACATGCACCACTGGAAATTAAGGGGTTTTTGACACAGCCCAAAGGTTTTTTGCCCTTCCCTGGTTCAGAGGTCTTATAATTTGTAAATACAGATGCAAGATTTGTATGTAGATATGTCTGCAGGTCTCAACCACTTGCATTAGCATTAGTTGTGCAGGGTTTTTTCTCAAATTACATTTTGAGGTGATTTATGCTTTTACTTGTGGTGTCAGGATCTTTTGAACCATTTCCATCTGACATTGAGCAGAACTCATTCTTCCTCAGATTAAAAGTGACACAAATAATAAACAAGCCACCCGCAGTATTTCTCTTCTCCCATCAGCTCATCCTGCTCTGGTTTTCTATTTTGTAGGACTGTCCTTCCACAATAAAACAGTGTAATAAGACCACCTTAGTAAACCAGCAATAAGAAAACTGCTTCATAGCTGGGATTTGCTGCTCTTTACTCGGGGAGTAGGGTGTGTTGGGCTTCTGTCCTTCCAGGGGTGGTTTTTGTGAAGATCATTTTCTTTATGTTAGGCTCTGAGGTGATTTACATCGAGGTGTGTTCTGAAGAATCCTGAGGATCTCAAAGCTATCAACATATGAATCATTCAAAGTTCCTTCCTAAAAACTGAGCAAACACCTCAGTACTATGTACTTGACAAGTACTAGCAGCGCATCAGCTATTTCTTCTAGACTTCTGTTATTTTTCTTTGCATTTTACTGGCAGAACTTCAGGCTGTATCAGTTAAACAAAAACTATGCCATTGGCTAGATTTTAGTATGAGCAAGGCCCTACTTTTTTTTTCTGTAGCATCTCTCTCTTCATCCCCAGTTTGCTGCCTGCTTCTGTTACTACTATGATTTTATCATGCTAATGTTTACAGAACTGGATGCTGAATTGTGATTACCTGTGTTAAATACCATATTAAGGTCTTTACCTTGTTTGTTGTGATCCTGTTTCCTTTATCTTTGGCTGAACTTTTTTATAAGGACAAAATACACAGTAGCTTTCAGGTGATGACATTGAAAATATAACAAATAGAGGCTAACTTTAGATAGCATGAGCAGCAGATTATATAAAAGTCTTCCCTTCTTTCATTCACACTCCACAGTATTTTTTAGCCAGTTGTTTTAAGATCAAGAACACCATTGCTACACTGTGAGTAGCTCCCCTGTCTACCTGCCTTTCTGTTCTGCTTTAGATTCTGCCTGCAGTTGACCTGAATGAGAAGAAAATAAAGAGGCATCAACAGGGACATAGTTTCCTGAGTCTCCCTGACCTTAATCCATCGTCTGAGTGGCAGCTTGTACAGATCTTGTCTAACACTTTCTGGTTGTTTGCTGAGGCTAGGAGACTTCTTTGACAGTCTTGGGAAAGCTGCTTTCATCTTGATCTTACCTTGGAAGAACTTCTCTTGCTTCAGCAAGATGTTTATTGCTCAGAGCCTCCTGTCCCCTGCTGGGTCAGAACAGGGATTTTGGAACTGGGCATGTTTCTGACAGGGTGTTTGATTTCAACAAATTATTGTCTGTCCTGATGCATTCCTGGACTAAGTTTTGGGTGGGGCTTTCACCCATTTACATGTATTTATGTGTGCATTGGCCAAGAGAATTTAGGACTGAGATAGAACTTTAATTGGGAAATGGACCTTGTGTTGTAGAAATGCAGGTAGTTCAGAAGAACTGGAAGAGGTCATAGGATAATAATGGGATCAAGTCTGTCAACGCAGAGCAACCAAGTGAATAAGCTGAGGTAAGGTGGGCTGGTATTTGCTGTGAATAAGTTTCAGCTCTACTTCATAGCTATAGCTGAGCAATGAGAGAGCAGCAGTCTAATAAGATAATATGAGGCAATGGTTCAGAAACTCCAGTAGCAGGAGTTTTTGGAATAACAAGAGTGTTATTTCTAAATAATAGACCTTTAGTCCAGTGCTTTAGAATTTGATACGTTCTGTCTTTCCAGCACTTTCTGACACCAGGTGTATTGCCTGTCTGTAAACTACACTTGTGCAGTTTTAAGCATCTGTAAGCAAACATTTCATCATTTGCTAATTTTGGTTCTAAAAATTTCTGTTCAGTCACACCACAGTAGGATGGATCTCCATAACTAATCTGCTACATCTTTTTGCAAATTCCAAGGGAATTGGTGCTGCTGCTTCTTGGATCCAAGTTCTGAAGGAAATGAAGAATGGATTAAACTTCCTGCTTTCATTTCAGCCATGACCTCTAAACACTTTTTCCTTTAATGTAAGTGAAGTTACCATTACACTTACTTCACGTTACCAGTCAGATCCACACTTCTGCAATCAGTTTCCCCACAGACTTAGTTTTCATTTTTTAAGTTCCGGAGTGTTTCCCATGTTTCTGTTTCTCTCTCTGGTCAGGTCTCTAGGTTTGGGTTGGGTTTTTTGTGGTTAATTGGAGTCATAAAAGCCATTGGTGATCAATGTTAGTACCTTGACTGGTCGCTAATTTCATAAGCAGAAGTACTGAATTCCATCAGCTGTGATGCTCTCAACAGACAACGATCATTTTTACTACAGGTAAACCAGAGTTGTATATGTGACACTTAAGCTGACTTAAAAATTTCTTGCTTGATACCAAGTGCACAGGAGTATGTCAAAGGGAGTATATGAAAACCACTATGTGAAAATCCACCAAGAGGGAAGACTCTGGAAAATTTCACTCTTTTCCAACTCTTTTTCCTGAAGAGCTGGGCTCATGGCTTATATTTGATCCTGCAATTGTTGCGCATCTGGTTAGAGACACCATCTACAAGCGACTTGTGCTGTCGCACTGCAGCTAAACACATGGACTGGTGCCAGCAGGGACAGCTGAGGCTGGAGTATTACACATGAAGGCAATGAACCTGTCGGTAAAGTCTTCCTCTTCCGAGTACAGACTTTGAAAATGGAGGGTGAATCCATGTCACCTATGTCCCAATTCCTCAGCAACATTGAACACCCTTCTTAAAACTTCTAAGAAAGGTCTGCTCTCAGGGGAAAGGGGATGTTAATGTTAACCAGCACTTCCTGTCTTTGAACCCTTCAGAAGTTCATCCCAAACCTCCCATTTACAACGATATTAGAGTGTGAACCTGAATTTCCCGTTACTCATAATCACCCAGCAACACTTCATGCAGCTACAGGCTTTTGCTGATGGAGCAATTACACAAATCCTGCAGCGAACAGCCAGGACTAGCAGTTTGTAGGCTGGCCAAAACGGCATTCACCCCTCCTCCCCAGCAACTAAAGGAGAAACACAAGATTGCCCATGAATTACTCCCCTTCCCATATACACACAATGTATATTTACATCCATTCACCCATCAAAATGGCAAAGGAAGCACAGGTTTGTCCTCCTAACGCATAGTCCTTTCTCCGCTCCCCTGCCCCTTGTCCTTCCCTGTCCCTCAGCACAGTGCCAGCACAACCCTTTAATGACCTGTTTAACGTCTCGTTCAGGGAGCGCAGGGAAATGCTGGCTTTAGCCATCTTCCTGAAAAGCACGAAGAGAAGAAATAAAAGCTGGAGTGGGCTTGATTCTTTCTCCTGAAGCAGGCAGCAACAACAAGGACAGGGGATCTGACTCCTGCGGGAGGTTGTTTGTACCAAGGCTTTTTATAGACTCTATATCCAAATATAGGTCATAGATGCACAGACACATGCTCATAAACGTATCACATACTGAACTAAGCATACGGACCACTTCCTCTGACCCACTGGTCCTGTCTGTCGTCATACATAAATGAATTCTGAAATGAGGGCTACCTACAGTATTTAGCTTTTTTGCTGCGTTTTGGCTTCATTTTGCTGTAGCACCCACCCACAGTTCATGTCTTGGGCCAAATTCTCCTGCTGTTAGTGTCTGCACGAACAGATTGCCCTTTTTTCTTGCTGTTTTTTGAAAGCTATGATGGTGAAATCAGATCTGGATGAGAGTGAGTTGTGTTTGGTTGCAGGGAGCTGCTTTGAGCAAAACCAAGATGGTTGGAAGCTCTTCCATACAGGAAGGACAGCCAGCACAAGTGGCTAAGTTTTCAGGAGCAAAAAAAAGAGCTGGAAATTTTTCCATCCAGAAAAAGAAAAAAAGCAGATAGGTAATGTGCCTCTGGTAACAGCACATCTGGTGAAACAAGACAGCCCAAAGCCCACAGCAGTGAAGCAGGTCTTTAGCCAGTACCAGGCATCCCATTTTGAGAAAGGTTAAGGACAGCCCAAGGAAGAAAAAAGCACAACTTTTTTTTTAGTTATTTGCCCATTCCATAGGAAATCCAGCATGAACTGAACATGTGAAAAGCTGCCATGTTCCTACTTAGTACATTCTTCCCACCCACATCTTGCAAATCGAGAGGTATTTCTAACGAGCCAAGTTCTGCTCGTTGTGTTTCTAAAGGTTTGGGAAGACAGTGGAAGTACTTGGGTAAGGGGGAGCCATGCCCTTGGTCTTCCATGTTCCCCCTGTGATGGGGTACACAACACACATCTTGAAACAATTGTGTGTAAGTCTGACAATATTACAGTGAGTATAAGCACAAGACAGCAGTGAGAGAGAAAGCATTTATTAAGACAAGTGTAATAGTTATTCTTCCTTGGGAAGACAACTAAATGCATAAGACAGCTGACCCTGTAAACAGATGTTAACATTTCCCCTGCTCCTTTCCTTACTGCAGTGTGAAAAAAAACAACTGGCAATGACAGTTAAACTAAATGGATTACTCATTAGTTGATGCTTCTCTAGTCTTATACACAGCTGCTGACCAATGAAAAATGTATTTCCACTTAAGCTATGACACAGTTTACCAGGAGAGAGTAATGTAAAGCATTGCAATAGTTCAAAGTGCAAGTGGATCAGTCAGTGGCATCTTTGATACTGCTCAGCATCATTCAGCATTGTGGGCATCCCCATTAGTGTGAATTTCGTCCTCCAACCTTAATTATGTCAGCTTAGTCATGAACTAATATTACCCCTAAATATACTGAAACCCATTTTACCTAAATTCAAGAAGAAAACTGCCAACCCTGTAAAACACAGCTGCAGTGAATACCAACAATTGCTGTAAAATGTTGTGTGAAGCCAGTTACGAGTACTTGCGTGAGTACACAGCAAATCCCTTCCCCTTCTGAAAGACGCCGCAGGTTTCACTGTTCAGTTTGCTGTCAGCATGTGTAACTGGACTCCGTTCAAACACTCTTGAGAAGTGGTTTTGGCCCTGAAATGTCTTTAAACATTTCAGTGTCTAGTGTTCTGGCAATGGATACACAGATACAGAACTACTCTGATCAGCAACTAATACCCTTTTGGACCCTTTGATCTCTGCACAAGCAATCCAGTTCACCTTCTCTCCGTGCTCAATGGTTACCTTTGGTAAAATTCTAGTATGTTCATTTGAAGCCACTTTGTTGAGCTTCCCATCTTTTCTGGTGGAAGCAGGTGCATGGGTCTTCCTCCTCTGCAGCGATTTTGCCGGGCTTTTCAGTTGCTTTCCAATGTCACTGTTGACATCCCAAAGCAAGACTTTCCCATCATTTCCTCCAGTCAGCAACCAGTATGCTCCTGGCATAAAGAGGACCTGCGATACTCCCAAGCTGTGACCTTGAAACTCCAGCTCACGTTCAAACTTGACACCAGTGACTCTAAATATTCTGACTTTACCATCTTGAGCTCCGCAGCCAAAGAGGTTGCCGCAGGATGCAACAGACAGGGAATGTGCAAGCGGCGGGTTGAAGAACTGGCCAGCTGACTGTGGACTGTTCTCCTGTGCTTCACATTCCTGCAGGTTTCTGGTCCACAAGGGGCGAGCTTTCTGCAGGTTCCACAGCATAACCTTGAAAAAAAAAAAAAGTATGAATCAGTAATGTATCCATTTTACATAAGATCAGATCTTTCACTAACTGTAAAACTAAACCACCATGCTTCATGCTGGATCACCTCTCCTGTGGAGACAGGCTGAGAGAGCTGGGCTTGTTCAGCTTGGATAAGAGTCTTAAAGCAGCTTCTAGTGCCTCAAGGGGCTGACAAGAAATCTAGACAAACTTTTGACAAGGGAATGTGGTAACAGGACAAGGGGGAATAGCTTTGAGACAACAGAGAGGAGATTTAGATTTGACATTAGGAAGAAATTCTTCCCTGTGAGGGTGCTGAGGCCCTAGCACAGGTTGCCCAGAGAAGCTGTGGCTGCCCCATCCCTGGAAGTGTTCAGGGTCAGGTTGGACAGGGCTTGGAGCAACCTGGTCTAGTGGAAGGTGTCCCTGCTCATGGCAGGGGGCTGGAACTGGATGATCTTTAAGGTCCTTTCCAACCCAAACCAGTCTGTGATTCTTGCTTTAGCAGAGCAAAGACTATGCACGAGTGCAAGGGATGGAAGATGCATTGTGAGGAGTGGGTGAACTTTACCTGATAAATATGGCTGATCTTGACAGCATGCTTTCCAAACCCTCATACCGCCCTACTCAGCAGGGTCAATGACTCAGACCACAGAATGGATGAAAGAGCTGTTCTAAATGTTTTTGCATTCATCTCAGCAGTAGCAATCATAATATACTCCATACCAGTTATTAAAGAGGAGAGATGCAGAAACGCAGCAGTTAAGAGAAATCTTTATCATTCTGAATTTTAGTTTTGCCTGTGCCATCTACTTGTCCTAAAATAATCACTTCCACGAATGCGCTTGATAAATGGTACAGCAAAAGGCAAACAGTAGTTCAGGCCCCCATTTTTAAACAGACGTCTTTGGGTTGTGAATAGATCTGGTTTGTGCTATGCCCATATTGAGGTAGGGCATTCTTTTCCTGATGAGAAGGGAGGGGGTTGTGCTTTAGACTTGCTTTTAAAATCCCAATCTCCTCCAAGTCCCTCATGGAACAACAACTGTGCCTCCAAATGAATCCTGTGTCTCATTGAGCATTTCAGTGACTATGGATTTATACTGCATCAGTTAAAAATAATTCTCTCAATGCTATTCTAAGATCTGAATTGATTATGAGCAGTTTCAAGGTCAACAGGTATGAAAGCACAAGTCAGTCTAATGAAGTACTGGTGTGCTGTTTGATTTTTTTTAAATCAAAACTTTGTTATCAATAAAAATATTCTTCCACTAGTTAACTCCAGGAGAAAGTACAGGAGTCTTTAAATTTGGGCCATAAAAGAGTTATCACACTGTCTCTGTGTTTCTGGAATCCAAATCACACCTAAGACATTCAAAATATGTTGGTTCCTGGCACTTTTCTGGTTTAGTGAGTGCTGTTGCCACTACATTAAAACTACTTTGATCCGATGAATGGCAAAACTTCCCATAACGACTGTGTGTACCACACTAAAGCAGAGAGGCTGGGTCCTAATGCTTAAGGCAAATAATCCCATTTTCATAACAGACAGCACTGCGCTAACAAGTTTTCTGCAAATTAAGTATTTTCTGTCCTCGCAGCATTGTTTCTGCTTCCAAGGAACTTCTGGAAAAAAACCAAAACCTTCATGCAAAGTGGCGTGCAAAGGACAAATTTCCTCTTAATGAGGATAGAGATGCATAAAAGGTAAAGAATATTTAATGCTTCCAATAGGTTAATCAGAACTAAGGATAAGTTATAAAAATGACTTGTCCTGACATGATACATACCACTTGGACAGATATTTATGTACCTGTGTTCTTGCTAGCTTTCTGTATGCTTCAAGCATTTTGCCTTTTCCTAATGACCACCTGCCTTTCATTTGCAGGCATAACTGATCGCTAGGGACAGCTTCTGATTTTGGTCAGTCCAACAGGGGCCTAATGTGGCATGAGCATGCTTTGGACCATATTCTGATTTCCCCACCCCCTGCTCACTTTTAGATTGTAAATATTAAAGAAAATAAAAACAGAGAGAGGAACTCCTGAGTAGAAAATGGCACAAATAATCTCAACACTTCGTTTCTCCGCCAAAACTACTTTAGAATGTTTAAGGAACTTTCTGGTGACTGAAAGCTGCATACTCTCACTCTGGGCAAAAGTCTGTTGGTGCCTCACTGCACAGGTAAATAGTTACCGTTTTGCTTCTCTAATAACCATTTACTTGTATGCAAATCACCTGCATGTCCAGTCCACAGGAAACAAGGCTCTGAGGCCTCTGAGGTCGAAAGGCAACAGAGGAACAGATGTTTGAGTGTCTCAAGGACCGGGTGACTTTCTTGTTTTCCAGGTCCATAACTTTTATTGCCCCTGAGTCATCTGCTGCAGCCAAGAAACTGTCAGTTTCATTCACTGAGAGGCAGTTGATCTCCTCCTCATTCACATGGAAGCGTTCAATGGGCTCCTTGAGGGATCGGACATCCAGCAAACTGATAGTTTCTCCGTGGGAAGTGTATAGCCTGGTGGGACAGCAAGGAGAGAACACCACGGAGGTCACGTCATCTGCCTCTGGTAGCTGGAGCTGTCCTGCTGGAGTGCCTCCCCCATCCCAGAGCGTTAGCTCGCCTCTCTCTGCACCTGAAGCCACCAGACCTTCTGAGTTTACGTTCAAGCACAATATAGAAGATGAATGTCCACCAATCCATTTGACTGCCATGTTTCAGGGACACCTCTGCAACAACAAACATACAAAAAAAAAACCTGAATTCAGATGGTGTTGGCCTCATTACAGGAGAAAGTTTATCAAAGCAACAAGACCACCCCATGGACGGTAATGTAAACTACTTGAAACTCTAGTGCCAATTAAAACAGGCATCTTTACAATCAGTACCCAAGTGTTGCTTAAACAGCACCAACATCAGCAATACCAGCTTGGAATGACAGTGGTGCTAGCACATGTACCTGTGCAGTACAGGGAGTAGATCTGCCCTGACGTGGCTGCCTAGGTGAAAGCTGCTTCCTCAGCACATAGGGACATAGCACACTTAACAAAACAGGCGGCACAGCTCCTAATGGGAGGTACCGGAAAGGACCATGGGGAAGACCGCAAACTGGTAAAGTCAGTCTGCAGAGGAGTCACATTGCTCCAGCCTGTGTGAGAGCACATGCAGACATCCATCTTTCACCCAGCTGTGGAGGTACTGGGTAGTCGGTACCTAACACTGGTTTGTAAAGCAGCCTCACAATACTTGGAGAGAGAAACTTGTACTGATGCGAGTGGGATAAAGTAGCTGCCTTAATTACAGTTTAAAGCATACATTTGCGTGAATATATTTTAAATCGTGTACTCTGTGCTCCCAAAGTAAAGGTATTTTTCTTGCGACTGGTAAACACCAAAGCATAAACAGCTCAACAATGTCATCTTTTTAAAAAAGCATTACCGGTTTGAGGCAGGTAGTGACCAGGTTTGCAATACATTTAACTGGGTCTCAAAGCGCACCCATCGAGTTTACCACGCAGGGTCCTTTCCTCGGCAAAACCACCCACAGCAGCCCATGTGACAGGGCTGTTCAGGGGACCGAATCAGCAAAAAAGTAACTGGGGGGAAAATCCCAAGGCACACAAAAGCGAAACAAGCTTTGGAGTGGGGGAAAAGGAGAACCAAGATAGGTTTGCGGGACAGCTATGGCTGTCCCTGCAGCAGCTTTGGCGACCACAGCACTGCCTCGGTATCAACGGTTTTACTCACTGCTAGGCAATAAAAGATTTATTTACTTATTTTTACCGTGCTTTTTGCCTGTGTTTTTTGTCAATCTAAACCGCAGCTAGAATTCACCCACTCCACCAGGAAAACTTCAGTCGCACCTATTAAATGCACTACAGAAAGCGCCGGACACCCTACTCGCAACTCGTGTCGCACACTCGCGCCTGCCACTCTCTCGCACGCCGAGAACCGAGGTAACATCTTTCCCCCCGCAGCCCCTCCGCAGCCCCTCACACCGGTAGGCCCCAATCACGGTATCAAGGAAGACAGCCCCGCCGCGCCGGGACGCCAGCTCCTCGGGGGAGCGCACGCAGCTCTGGCGGCTGTCCCAGGCCGGGAGGGTCGCCGCGTCCGTGCCCTCCAAGCCCCCGCCGCGGCCGCGGGGGCTGTGAAGCCGAGCCCGCCCCGCCCCGCCGGGCCGGGCCCCCCAGCGCCCCGCGCACCGCCTCACCTCCACTCCGCCGGCCGCTCGAGGCCCGCGCATGCGCGGAGGGCGGGGCGGGGCGGGGTGCCCGCGGCAGTGATGGCGGCGCCGGGCGCGCGCGCCCCCTCGCTGTGAGGGCCTTGGGCGAGGAGCGCCCCCGGGCCGGGGCCCGCCGCCACCGCTGTCACCGGCCAGGGGAGGGGCAGCGCGGCCCCCGCGTCCCGGCTCGCCGCCCGCGGGGAGCTCGGGAACGGGCACGGTGGCGATGGCGGCGGGTCCCGGCGGCGGCAGCGGAGGGGCGGTGGCAGCGGCGGGAGGGCCGGGCTGGCGGTTGCCGGGGCGTGTGCTGGAGCTGGTGTTCTCGTACCTGGAGCTGCGCGAGCTGAGGAGTTGCGCGCTGGTCTGTAAGCTGTGGCACCGCGTCCTGCACGGCGACGAGAACAGCGAGGTGTGGCGCAGCTTGGCGGCCCGCTGCCTGGCGGAGGAGGCCCTGCGCACCGACATCCTCTGCAACGTGCCCACCTACAAGGGCAAGGTGAGGCCGGCCCCTCGGGGACACCCCTCTCCAGCCCCACGGGGATACCGCCCTGGCTCCCGTCCCACCCGTCATTGGAAACCAAGCAGGGGCCCTGAAACACATGACGGGATTTTATCTCCCTTGCTGCCTTCCTTCTTGTTCTTTCCTAGGTCCGTGCCTTCCACCACGCCTTCAGCACCAACGACTGCTCACGGAATGTCTACATCAAGAAGAATGGCTTCACGCTGCACCGCAACCCCATTGCCCAGAGCACGGATGGGGCGCGGACCAAGATCGGCTTCAGTGAGGGCCGCCACGCCTGGGAGGTGTGGTGGGAAGGCCCACTGGGCACCGTGGCCGTCATTGGCATCGCCACGAAGCGGGCGGCCATGCAGTGCCAGGGTTACGTAGCCCTGCTGGGGAGCGATGACCAGAGTTGGGGCTGGAACCTGGTGGACAATAACTTGCTGCATAATGGAGAGGTGAATGGCAGTTTCCCCCAGTGCAATAACGCGCCCAAATACCAGGTGAGCGTGGCTTGGCATGGGCTGGAAACTCTACCATGTCTCACTGTGGCTGGCCAGGAGCCTCCTCCCTCGCATGTCCTGGCTGTCTGTTGAATTGGTTCCAAATACCCACTTAAGGGTTTCTTCACCTTCCCTACAGAAGGGCAGATGATTCTGCCTTGCAGGGCCTTTCCCCCTTCCTTTACTGCTTGCTCAGACTACAGCTGTGTATGGTGTTTAGTGCACCTGACCATCACTTCTGCACTTCTGTCTCAGGTACTGAGTGCGAGGCACATATTGTGAGTGTCTACTTAGTCACCATGCTGCTTTTTGAAATAAAAGCTGGTAAGGCTGTTGTAGTCTTCTGAAGTCTTGACTTGCCCCACAGCAAGGTGAACGTCTGTGGTATTCTGTCCCTTTGTTGTATGGCAATGGGAGCGAAGGGTAGTGCTGAGGTGAGAGTCTTCCTGCAAAAACCTGCAGCAGTGCTCACTTGAGTGTTGCTTGTTTGCTCGCTGGCAGCATTCCCATAAGTGACATCGCTTGCCTAGGATGCTGGGATGTGATGTTCAGATAATTTCAGGTTCTTAAATAGCAAGTGCAATTCCATGTTTCTGTCCCTGCAGAAGTGTTATCTTTGTTCTGGCTGCTGGATTTCCTCACATTACCAACTTGAGCTGCATGTATTATAATTTCTCTCTCATAATGCTGTGGCTTTGAGTATTGCCTAATGTTTCAATTTGGGTGAAGATCTTGGAGTAACTTGTATCTGATGTTTCTAAATTTCATGTAAGAGTTCACTGTCAAGCAGTTAATTCTGTCTGAAGGTTATACCTGCTGTTTGGGGAATAATATCTAAAATTAGTGTAATGAAAGAGATTTAGATCCCTTTCCACTTGCATGTTCCCTAGTATGCAAAGTGGGTAGGCACTACAGACTTGCCCCTTTGTGCTTGCTTTCTGCTGTACTTGTCTAGGTCTTTCTGCAACAAAAGGGTGAGGAAAGTTTTGAAGCCAAGTCCCCAGCTTCTGTGGGAACTCAAGAGTGAACATAGTCGCTGCTTTCTCTCAAAATTGGTGATCCTTTGGAGTTTTTGTTATTAAGACACGTGGGGCAATCTGCTCATAGAAAACGTACTCAAAGGAGTTTGTTAGTGTTGGTTAGAAGAAAAATGTGTTGGCTGGAAGAAATCCCCAGCATTGGGGCTGGCTGGTGAGGAACAGAAGTTTGTGTGGTGTCCTGCTGTGCTTGCTGCTGGTGTCTGGGACTTCTGTTTGTGCCTAAAATAGTGTGTACTAGATAAATGCAGGGACCGTTGTGCATGCCTAGATCTGAGTCTCTTGCTGTGTACAGTGTTGGTTTTACTTGTGTGTATGTATATATTTTCTGCTGCCTTGGCAAGGTGACAGGCACCTGCATAGTAGTGTATTCTGGTATGTTTTGCATGTGTCACCTATATAAAACAAGTTCATTGTCTTTAAAATTGCTCTTTGTGGAGCAATTGCTTGGCTATAGCAACAGTTAAATCCAGAGTTCAAGTAACTTGGAAGCCATTGCAAGGTTTCCAAACCTCTGCAGCATTCTAAAGCACATGACATGTAGTATACTCACTCTGGGTGATCTCACAAGGTTCATACTAGAAGGGTTACATTTGTTGTCATGTAGGTTGGTGCCTACATACAGGCTGCCTGCTGGAAAAGGGCAGCAGAGGTACTTGGGATCCTAGGGCATTTGAGCAAAAAAAAAAAAGGAGAAATTCCTGTCCTAAAAATAATGCAGTCATGAGAAACAGGAAAGCCTTGCTTTAAAATTGCCAGTTGCGTTATATGTGGTCTGTGCTTTAATTTTGCGTCTATACTTGAATATGCTGACTCTGTGTTTTAATCCCTCCCCTTCTATCTCTGTTTCCAGATAGGTGAAAGGATCCGAGTTATCCTGGACATGGAAGACAAAACATTAGCATTTGAGAGGGGCTATGAGTTCTTGGGAGTAGCCTTCAGAGGACTGCCAAAAGTTTGTTTGTATCCAGCAGTGTCTGCTGTGTATGGTAACACAGAAGTGACTTTGGTCTACCTGGGAAAACCTCTGGATGGATGATGTGGATTGTTTTGTTGGGACATTGAGACGTGGATGACTGGGAGGAGAAATCTGCATGTTGGTTAGAGGGAAACATGTATTAAAGGAAAACCAAAAAAGTGTGGGTGTGTGTCCAAGAACCATCGAGGGGATCACATGGAGTTTTGAAATGGAGGACCAGCCATACTTCAGGAATTGTGTTCCATTTCCTCTTTCTACCAGGCCAGAAAAATCCTCAGGGTTGCAGTTGGTTTAGTGGGAAGCTCACACATGCATTTTGCAACAGATTTCATTGCTAAGATGGCAGTGCGTGACCTTAAGTATTTAAGAAAAGATTTGTTACGAAAGTGCTTGAGGAAATTAACCTGAGATTTGTAAGTAGTGTGTTTTGTGAAAGACTCCCATTTTAAAACTGCTTGTTCCTTCCCTCCCCTCCCCTCCTTTGGGCCAGTGTGGGTACTAGAGGAGAGCAAGTCTGGTTGGGTTTTATTTACAATTTTTAACATACTGAGAAGCATGGTCTGTCAGGATTGTCCTTCTCTGGTATAATGATACAAAATGTGTGCAGCTATTTTTAAGTGTATTTTAAGGGTTGTATATATAGAACACATTGAAAAGAACAGTTAAAAGAAGGGTTTGTTTTATTCTAACTGGGACATAATTTCTTAAAGGGGACACCCCCCCCCCCCCTCACTATGTGGCATCAGAAAATATACCTTGGACAGGTATATAACATTCATGTAAGTGTACTTCTTTTGTTGTATTGTAAAGCATTTTGAGATGCTCTTGTGGAGTACTGTGCTACACTGGGTCGTTTTCCATGTCAGTTTCCACAGCTTTAGCAACAATTTTGTTCTCTGTAGAAAACACAAAGCCTTTTCTCCACTAGTTTCCTTTTGCCAAATTTGTGGTCCCCTTTAGGAAAAGAAGCCACAACACAACGGTGAGCTTGTCATCCTTTCACATCAATAATAACTTCTAAAAGCATTCTTACACTTTGTAATCACTGTTGTGAAATGTTGCAAAACAATGAGTGAGGAGCAATCAGTTTCTGAATTCAGACCTTATTTTCAGCTTAAATGGCTTTATAAGGCTTTTCACTTTGGCCGAACTTTTCTTGAATGAAATAAAACCCCCCAGTACCCAAGTATCCACCTGTCCGTTTTCAGTCAGGACGAGTAGACCTCTCACCAACCCTC